ATTAAAAAAATAATAATTTTTTTAAAAAATTCAGATTCCCAGGTTTATCACTAGAGATTCTGATTCAGTAATTCTGGGATGGGGCTCAGAAATCTGCATTTTAATAAATAATTAAATGATTTTCATGTGATTGGAAGAGGAAGTTGGTCTAAACTCTGAGACCCCTCCTAATTTTGAGAATCTGATTGTAAGTAGAGGGAAGGGACCCAGAAAGTTATAGAGGTGGCTCATAGACTGTCTCTGTTATCTGATTATTTCTTAAACTAGTGGCCCAGTGCACGAATTTGTGCACATTGAAAGGAAATTAATTAGAAGAAATATTTTAACATCTCTATTAGCCCTTTCTCTATAATAGAAGTGTCAACCAAATTCACGATCAACAATGACAGATGGAAACACAGGCATGCGATTGGTGCCAGCGAGAACTTTATATGTATCGTGCATACGTGAGTCAATTTGGGCTTTTACATAGAATGAACTTGCTTAATTAGACCTGCTTTCTGATGTAGCTAAACTTTTTCCAGCCCAGTGAAGCACTCCAACTTCTCAGGAAATTGTCAGCAGCACAGCAGTAAATATCAACATGAAGCATATTATTATTGTAGGTCACACAAGGAAAACAAAGGGTAAAATATTTAACTGCACAGTGTTTGACTATATTCTGTGCAGTGAGAAAACCTTAAGTCATTTTCAAGGTCCACCATTTCTTCTTTTCAGTCGGGTCAAATTTCTAAGCTTTCTAAATCTCCGTTTTCCGGCTAATGAAAAGAAAATAGGATTCCACTGAGTCTCTTATCTTCCTACTCCAGGACTTCTGTGAGGATCAAATGAGATGAGGCACGGGAAAACTCTTCACAGACATTTGGTTACAGTGTAAAATGTTTCCACTTGGGTGTTCCTGGGTTGAAAAAACTGCAAGGAGGCTTGTTGCTAGGGAGAGGAAGCCAGGCATTGCTATGTGACATTACCTGGACAGTTAGACACTTAGCATATTAGCTTTTTATATATATAGATAGTAGGAGCTCACAAAGAATAGGCACTGGTGATAGAGTAGTGATAAGATAAACATATAAGCCCTGGACAGTGTTGCTCAGTGGTTGGAACACCATCCTCCAACCAAAGAGTCTTGGGTTCGATTCCCGATCAAGGGCACTTACCTCAGTTGTGGGTTTGATCCCTAACCCCAGTTGGGGTGTGTGCAGGAGGCAACCAATGTGTCTCTCTCATGTCGATGTTTCTCTCTCTCTCCCGCTTCACACCCTCCTCCCTCCCTTCCACTCTGTCTGAAAATCAATGGAAAAAATATCCAAGGGTAAGGATTAACAACAAAAAAAAGATCAACATGGAAGTCTTGAGGGGGAGATAATCCAAAAAAAAAAAAATCAAGTGATGGCAAGTGCTGTGCAGGGAATCGAAGTAATAATGTGTTAGAATAGCTAGGGGGTTATTTTACATTGGTTGGGGATGGCCTTTTTGAGATGACATTTAAACTGCAAACTGGTCCTGGTTGGTGTGGTTCAGTTGGTTGAGCATCATCTAATGTATCAAAGGGTTGCTGGTTTGATTCCCCCATTAGGGCACATGCCTGGGTTGCAGGCTCCATCCCCCATATCAGGTGTGCAGGATGCAGCCGAGCAATGATCCTTTCTCATCATTGATGTTTCTATCTCTCCCTCTCCCATCCTCTCTAAAATCAATAAAAAAATATTTTAAACCCCCACAAATGTTCTTATTAAAAAACAAAACAAGTGAAGATGCTGGTTTCCTTGAAGGGATGATGACTGGCAGAGGGCTTCTGGGATGCTGGTAATGTTCTGGTCCTTTACCTGGGGTCTGATCACACAGGTGTATTCAGTTTGAAATTCATTAAACTGTACTTTTTTTTGTGCGCTTTTCTGTATGTTATGCTTCAATAAAAATTTTATTACCAAACATGGCATACAAATGACTATAATGAAAATATGGTTGGTCAACATCATTAGTTATTAGGGAAATGCAAATGAAAACCACAATAGAAACCACTTCATACCCATTAGGATAGCTATTAAAAAAAAGAAAATAGCAAGAGTTGGCAAGTATATGGAGAAATTGGAACCCTTGAATATTACTAGTGGGAATGCAAAATGGTGCAGCCACTATGGAAAATAATTTGGCAGTTTCTCAAAAAGTTAAATATAGAATTACCATATGATCCAGCAATCCACTCCTAGGTATACACCCCAAAGAACTGAATACCAGTTCAAGCAAATACTTGGACAGGAACGTTTACAGCAGCGCTATTCAAAGTAACCAAAAGGAAACAACCCAAATGTCCATCAACTGATGTATGGATAAACAAAATGCTGTATATCCATACAATGAAATATTATTCATCCATAAAAAAGAATGAAGTAGTAATACATGCTACAATGTGGATGCACCTCAAAAACAGTATATTAGGTGAAAGAAACCAGATATAAAAGATTAAATATTTTATTATTCTATTTACATAAAATATCTAGGAAAATCTGTAGAGACAGAAAGCAGCTTAGTGGTTGCCAGAGTCTAGGGGGAAGGTAGAATGATGTGATTAATGGGTGTGGGTTTCCTTTTGGGGTGATAAAAATGTACTGAAATTAGATGGAGGTGATGGTTAGACTAATCGTGTATTTAAATGCCACTTAATTGTACCCTTTAAGATGGTTAATTTTATGTTGCATGAATTTTACTTCAGTAAAAATCTTTCTAACCTAAAAATTTCATTAAAAAGAGATGGCTGCAATAACAAAAGAGTAATTGTGTGAGGTGAAGGATATGTTAATCTTATTGTGGTAATCAGTTCATAGTACATACTAGTATGTGTATCAAATCACATTGTACACCTAAAACACACTAGTGTTACATATCAATTAAATCTCAACAAATCTGGAAAGGGTGAGTGAGTGGTTTAGGAGAATGAATTTGGAAGATGGAACCAGGGAGACCCATTAGAAGTCTTGGCAGTAGTTCAGACAAGATTTAATGTTGGCTGGAGCAAAGGCGGTAGTAATTGCTGGGGAGAGAAGTAGGCAGACTCCAGATATGTTGTGGAGGTGACAGGACTTGTTGGATTGAACATAGGTTGTGAAGGAAAGAAGAAGTAAGATGACTCCTAGATATTTTGCCTTGAAAAACGGGGTATGGTGATGTTGTTATCCCTTGATAGAGACCCCAAGTTCCAGGATGCAGGGTCTTCCTCCAGAGCTCAGCTGTAACCAACACTGGTATTCCTGAGTCAGTGACAGAGTCAGCAAAAGCTCCCCACCACCCCCGCAACCTCAACCAGTTTCCACTATAAGGTATTTTAAGTGACTCAGAATTATTGCTAACTCTCTTTTAGCACACCCATACCCATTTTCAACTCTCTGGTTATGATGCTAGTCCTACCCATGACATAGCTCTGCCCAGAGCCCTCCTCCCTATGCCTGGCAGGGTTATCTTTAAACAACTGTCCCCCTTCCCCTCCCAGGAGGCTGAGCAGCCTCTCTTCAGACTCCCAACTCTTATTTGGCCTGCTCTGTTCTCCACTTCTGCTGGGCTGCCTTCTCCCTACATTTATTCTAAAGGCCTTTTGTGGCACTCCAATACTTTCCTGCCCAAAGCTTCACTTCCCCTGAACCCCCCCCCCAAACCTTACCTGAGGACTTGGTACTCCCAGGCAACGACTCTGACTTATGTGAGCCTCACCTGGTATCTCTCCCTCCACAGGGGACCCCCTCCCCACAGAGGGCCGGCTCACGAATAGCTGTATCCAGGCCAGGAGGAAATGCCAGGCCAATCCGAATTGCAATGCTGCTTACCACCACCTGAGCTCCTGCACGGCTAGTGAAAGCACCCTGTCACCAGCAGAGGAGCCTTCCGTTTCTCTGGACTGCTTGGAGGCAGCACAGCACCTCAGGAACAGCTCTCTGATGAGTTGCTCGTGTCACCGGCGCATGAAGAACCAAACTGCCTGCCTGGACATCTACTGGACTGTTCACCCTGCCCGCAGCCTTGGTGAGGTCCCCTTCCTAGAGTGGACTAAGCTAGAGAGGATGGCTCTAGGGCCGTGGTCGGCAAACTGCGGCTGGCGAGCCACACGCGGCTCTTTGTCCCCTTCAGTGTGGCTCTTCCACAAAATACCACATGCGGGCGCACACATACAGTGCGACTGAAACTTCGTGGCCCATGCCCAGAAGTTGGGATTTTTTGGAAGCGTACAGTGCGATTGAAACTTCGTGGCCCATGTGCAGAAGTCAGTATTTTGTGGAAAAACCACACTCAAGGGGACAAAGAGCCGCGTGTGGCTCGCCAGCCGCCGTTTGCCGACCAGGGATCTAGGGGGTTGCTTTTTAATCCTTCAGTATATGAGCCACTTGGTAGTGGAGGGAGGAATTGGCAGTATCCTTTTTGGGTCTCCCAACATTACCATTTCACTTCCCTACTTCCCACTTTCTTTTTTTTAAAATATATTTCTTCATTGATTTCAGAGAGGAAGGGAGGAGAGAGAGATAGAAACATCAATGATGAGAGAGAATCATTGATCGGCTGCCTCCTGTACATCCCCTACTGCTGTACACCCCCTACTGGGGATCGAGCCCACGGCCCAGGCATGTGCCCCTGTTAGGAATCGAACCCGGGACCTTTCAGTCCGCAGGATGACGCTCTATCCACTGAGCCAAGCCAGCTAGGGCTACTTCTCACTTTCTTACCTGACAACATGTAGCTGCCTCTTAGCAGAGGCCTGAATCAGGCCGAGGCCCAACCTGAGGAGCTGCTGGAACAGAAGAGTTTGGAGAGGAGATGGAGGAAAATGGTCTTAAGCCATAAACAAGCTCCAAATACAATGTAATCCATAAATTCAGAGACTGGGAGGCAGTGTGCTGGTCCAGCCTTCAACAGATAGGATACTCATTCCAGGCAGGAGACGGTAAAAGAGAGAATGTATTTGAAGCCAAAGAGAAGAGCTCCCTCTGACTCTGTGTTAGTCAGTTTTTACCGACCATGCCGTAGTAACACAGATTTAGTTCTTACTCATGTTCCATGTTGGCTGTTCCATGTGTTCCCTTCATTTTGGGATCCAGGCTGAGGTTACAGCCTCTATCTGGGATGTTCCCTTCCTATAGCAGAGGGAATTGAACAATGGCAGGACCATGTGATGGCTTTAAACACTCCTGCTCAGATGTTATAGATAAAATACTTCTGCTCACATTTCATTGATAAAGTAAATCACATGGCAGGCATGCCTGACATCACTGGGGAGGGGATGTGTACTCCTCCCACAGGGAGAAAT